ATCAACATGGAACTGGGAGGTCACCGCAATAATTAATTTGTGTAATTAAAGATGTTCATATTATAGGTTCACTTAAAGAATTCCCAATTTTTCCTGCGCCAGCAAATACATAATTTATTTTATAACAATTTTTGCAGGTTATGTTGTTTGTAAGTTGCATGAACATAAAACAGAAACAGTAATACGGAATACGCATGCGTCAGATTGATGGTTAGAAGATAATCCTCAAACCATTCTGATAGATTTCGAACAGGTTTGAATCTTGGATGGAACAGAAAACTGATAGTTTACTAATGGTTGGAAACTCTTGTTGGAACGCAATCACATTACTGCGCAGAATCCTGACTGTCAGAAACTGTTTCTGACGCTGGTTGGAACAAACCTTATATTCATATTTTTGGCATGGTTCACCTCACTACTAGAGAGTTGAAATTACGGTGCTTCAGGTAGAACAGAATGTACCTTTTTTTCCATATCTACCATATTATTACCTAAAACCTTCATGTCAATATTTCACACCACCAATGCCTCTTTAAGATTTGAAGTGACCAAAGTAAACAATGTGAATAAAACAGTACAAACTCATTTACTGTAAAACTGATATCAGTAAATATCTCAAAAGCTATCTATCAAAAGATGGTAATTTCTTATTTTCTTAAATTAATCACATAATTTAAACAAATTTTCCCACAATACTCACAGCTCGAACTGTTGCTTCTACTCCCAAATGCAAGCCGTGTGGTCCGTTCATGTGTTTTAACATTACTGCATTAGCAAAGTGTTCGAATGGTAGTATGATTTTCCCATTTTCACGTAATATTAGCCTGCCCTGAGAATCTTATACGCAAATTCATTGATCTTTTCAAATCTTTTTTCAAATTTCCAAAATTTTGCAAATTTTCCGAGATATTAAGAAAAAACTAAAGCCCCATGAATGAGAAATCAAAGAATTCATTGGACTTTTTTATTTAGCAGGTATGTTCCGTTCTAATCGTCAGAACTTGAGAGACTTATGGCAAACAGATGGGACTGGTGTTGATATATTCCGCAATACGATGTCTATAAATCGTTTCCAGTTCTTGCTGGTCTGTATTCGATTTGATAATATTGAGAATCGCAAGGAAAGAGTGGAGACTGACAAATTAGTTGCTGCTCGTGGAATTATAGACAAATTTGTTGAACATTGTAAGCAAGCCTACACTCCTTCATAATATCTGACGATCGATGAAAAGCTGGAATCCTTTCGTGGAAGATGTGCTTTCAAACAGTACAAACGGGATCAAAGTGCAAGCCCTAGTTGACGCCCGGAGCTACTATGTTTTAAATTTGGAGATATATCCAGGAAAACAACCAGAAGGGCCCTACAATCTTAGCAACTTCCCAATAAATATTGAAGAAAGGCTTGTACAACCTATTTCTGGTTCGAACCGAAATGTGACTTTTGACAATTGGTACACTAGTTTTGAATTAATGATGAAGCTACTGACTCAGCATAACCTTACTTCAGTAGGCACGCTGAGAAAGAACAAACGATGCATTCCACCAGAATTCTTGACAGTTAGGAACAGGGAACCAAAGACATCTTTGTTTGGCTTTCAAAAGGATATCACTCTTTTATCGTATGTCCAAAAAAAATAAATAAAAACGTCTTGCTGATGTCCACTATGCACCATGATGGATCTATCGATGAAGCAACTGGAGAGAATAATTTACCCGAAATAATAAGCTTCCACAACTTTACTAAAAGCGGTGTAGATGTGGTGGATGAACTATCTGCATCATATAACGTGTCTAGAAATTCACGAAGAATTTCTTCTTCTTTTCCCTCTTGAATATTGCAGCCATAAATGCCTTGGTGATATACAGAGAAAACAATCAAGATTTCAAACTTGCCAGAAGATTGTTTGTCAAAATGCTAGGCATGGAACTTATCCAGGACCATATTTCTGAAAGAAAGAACAATCCAAGAATATTGAAAGGTGTTCGGTTTGTCCAAGGAACCGAGAATAAATATTCTTGTATAAATTGTAAATCATTAGTATGCCTGGAACATGCAGTTATAAGTTGTCAAAATTGCTTGAATTCAGAAAGCGACTAATTTTTTTTGCCTTCAGTGTACAACCTGTACATTTTTTCTTTGTGTTATCTAATTATTAAACTTTCGTTTATGACTGTATTTCAGATTATAATATTTTCAATTTTTTTGGAAGGATTTTTCAGGTGAAATATGTTTTTTTGTTCGTGGAGAAATACCTACTTTTAATTTATTCTTAGTTTCTCTTCAATAAAGATATTTCAATCATTGATTTTGTGTTTATATGGTCCCTAAATTATCACTTGAGGATAATCTTAACAATAATAAAAACACATGATGAAAAAGGAGAATGGTTCAGATACGTTGACGATGGACTGTACATATCACAAACAAATGGAATAAGAATAGAACAAATAAAAAAAGAAATTAACGAAATGAATTAAAAACTATGTTTCAGCATTGAGGAAGAACACAACTCAAAACTTAACTACCTGGACATAACCATAGGATATAACCACAACAAAACACAATTTCAAATGGCAATTTTCTATCAGGAGGCCTTTGGCGTTTCAAGTTAACGCTTTCATTGGCAAGTTTTTCATTTCGTTTCAATTTCTCTTTCTCTAACCTTCTTTTCCTTTGTGTTGATGTTTGTTTATTTCCCATAGTGTTTCCACGAGTACCGAAGAAATATTTGTCAACCCTCCCAGAGCTTCGTTTAGCAGGGTGCTCCAGTACGTTCACGATATCATTTTACACCATGATGCCACTAAGTTCTCGGCACGGCCTCACCTTAACTTGGGTGGTAATTTGGTGAAAGATGCGCCACTTTTTTCAGCTTAGAGCTTACTCGTGCCTGACGAAACACCGTTCCGAGTTTGATTTTGAGGTTTTCCATCTCCTAGACGGGTTGCAGACCAATGCTAATGACGTCCATGGTATGCCTCTTGTGCCTGTTGTTCACATTGCGTAATGGACCCTCTTACTCTGGGAACTTAGAGGGTGGTAGATAATAATATTTTTTTCACAATTCAAATAAATATGGGTTCTCACAACCTACTACACCATTTATTGTCTTCTTTTTAGAGTCGGGAAGTAGGTATTCAACCCGGCAGTACATATGTGGAGTTTCATAAACCCCAGATGGGAAATATCACTTTCAAAATAAACTAAATATCAGATTTATGCGCACGCATATCCCAGTAGCTTCTGATCTATATCCCCACCATTGATTTCAAATGTTATTGCAGTATTCCGTAGTCAGTGAGTGAGACTATACGCAACTAAAACGCTCTGGGGTGTGTCAAACTCCATCTATGTACTCACGTTTGTGATTTCATTATTTTATGTGAGTGATTATTTTTGACTTATTTGAATTAGGAAAATCAATCACCTATTTTTTAAGCTGAAATATCATGTCGTACGAAGACGAACAAAAAAGCTTGAAGCTTTATGGGCTGAATGTGAAGAAGACACCATCGAATCAGGAAGCGAAGACGATATTGATCATATCTCTGAAAGCGACCGCAATACCGACTCAGAGCAGGACATAACAATAGAAGATGAAGTTTTCGACGAAAACTCAGACAATGAGAACTCAGAAACGGGATTCCAAAATGAGACAGAAAATGAAAATATCGACGGACCTCCACAAAACAAGGAACTATATCTCGGAAAAGATGGAACAAAATGGTACAAACTTTCATCAAATCAACGCGTTCGAACAAGAGCAGAAAATATCATCACTCATTTGCCAGGTGTCAAGCAGTATGCAAAAAACTGTAAGAGTGCTTTAGATTATTGGCAGTTGTTCTCTGATCGACAAATGATCGAAAACATAGTGCGTTGGACCAATGTCAAGATTCAACAAAAATCTGTTGCATACAAAAATAAATGCATGGTGAAAGCAACCAATGAATGAGAAATCAAAGAATTCATTGGACTTTTTTATTTAGCAGGTATGTTCCGTTCTAATCGTTAGAACTTGAGAGGCTTATGGCAAACAGATGGGACTGGTGCTGATATATTCCGCAATACGATGTCTATAAATCGTTTCCTATTCTTGCTGGTCTGTATTCGATTTGATAATATTGATAATCGCAAGGAAAGAGTGGAGACTGACAAATTAGCTGTGGAAGATGTGCTTTCAAACAGTACAAACGGGATCAAAGTGCAAGCCCTAGTTGACGCCCGGAGCTACTATATTTTAAATTTGGAGATATATCCAGGAAAACAACCAGAAGGGCCCTACAATCTTAGCAACTCCCCAATAAATATTGAAGAAAGGCTTGTACAACCTATTTCTGGTTCGAACCGAAATGTGACTTTTGACAATTGGTACACTAGTTTTGAATTAATGATGAAGCTACTGACTCAGCATAACCTTACTTCAGTAGGCACGCTGAGAAAGAACAAACGATGCATTCCACCAGAATTCTT